TTTTTTTTTTTTTGGTGAGGCAATCGGGGTTAAGTGACTTGCCCAGGGTCACACAGCTAGTACTTGTCAAGTGTTTGGTCTGAGGCTGGATTTGAACTCAGGTCCTCCTGACTTCACTCCCTCTGTATTCCTACTGTATTCCTAGCAGCACATATTCAGTCAGCCTCCAAGTCATGTTTTTTCCTACCTATGAAATTCGATTCTTTTTGTTTTCTACTTCCCCTACCACCACCGATGTTCAGGTTTTCATTATGTCACTCAATTCAGCAAACATTTATTAGGCATCTACTGTGTAAAAGGCACCATGGTAGCTACTAGGCCAGAATACAAAGACAAAAACAAAACAATCCCTGTCCTCAAGGAACCTAAGTTCTCCTGGTGTGCTACAATACGTATGCAGATAAATACAAAATAATTTTAGGAAGACAAATGCTAGTAACTGAGGATGTGGGTGGAACCAATAAAAGCCTCTTGTGCGAGGTGGCAATTGAGTTACACTCATACACATGTATGGCAGATGTCTCTTTTAAGCCCCTTTCATAAGGAGCTCTTAATGATGAAAAGAAAAAGTGTTTTTGTGTAAAGGAAGAGACTTATATTGATCATCAAATGATATGGTATACTGCCACTGTTATGGATGAACATTTTATGTTTAATGAGTAAAAGAACCTTTATTTTAATATAAACTGTTAAAATATGTGTATGAAGAATCATAGCTTTCAAATGGGATTTGGGCAGTTTGGGAGAGAAAATGTTATGCGCTATAGATTTGAGGACTCAGATCACTTTGTTAGCAATGTGGCCTGATGCCTGGCTTGTATGGGAACAGTTTAATGTCAAAGAGGCAGATTTTTTAATATATTAAAAAGCAGAAAAATTAAGTGTGAAGAAATATAGTTTTGAGGGCACCAAAGAGGCAGGCTACCTTGTTGGAGACTTTGGAGCAGGGCAAGATGGGTACATCCCCTAATTTGCATATGTATGTTTTACATATGAGAGACTAAGAAAACGAAAAATCATTTAAACACTTGGAGCCTGAGTTATGATTTTTTAAAAGACTCGATTTAATTGTGGGAGTTAGGATTTTTTAAAAAGTGAGTCCCTGAGAATCAGATGGTTCTCATTTAAGCCATTCTAGACAGCCAAAGAGAGCAAAACTCGTAAGAACAGTAATAGCGGGGAAGGGGAACCAGAGAAGTGAAGACACCACACCACAGGAGGGCAGAAAAGCTGCTCTGCCTGAGCTGGGCCGAAGCAATCAGCTGAGAGCGTCAGCTGACTGACTCCTGATTAGACAGAGAAGTGACGTTTTTAGCCATGAGCTACAATGGCAGACACAGCCCTTCAGCGCCACTTAGAGCTGGAGAGAGGTGAAGCTTTTCAGAAGGGCTTGTTGTTCTCTACTGCCACCTCTGGCTTAAGAAAGAAAAGCAGAGGGGGTTTGGAAGGCTATGGAAAATTCTGGTGGCCCAGTGGGATTAAAAGAGTGAATCTTAAATGTGGCTGTGAGCTCCTTTCTGATTGGACAGTGCAGCATCTAGGTGGGTGGATAACTGATAGGGCTGATTTGTATAGCCAGCCCTGAGATAGCCAGTCTGATAAGCTTGGCTGTGGTCTGGCTTAGAGAGAACCACTATTCATATTAAGAGTTAGCCCTTTTTAAACACCCTGTTAAGAACGATGGTTAATAGTGAGAGCTTATAAAATCAATGTTCAACTAGATGAAAAGCGTGTGTATTGCAATGTATTTTATTACTTATGTATTTGTTTTAATAGATTAGTATCTATTGTGAAAGGCTGGCTGTGAAGATAAACACAGATGGAGGGCTCAAGAGTTAAGAGTCCTGAGTAGGAAAAGTATATTTTTCCTCAACAAGGTTACCCTGGGCCCCTAAGAGGGTTTGGATGTAACCATGTGGTGGTGGCCTATCTTTGGGAACTGGGACCTGCTACTTTAAGAACAGGTTCAAAGAGTGAGCAAAACCCAGAGAGAAGTGGCATGTTTCACACACCTAGCTGAGATGTATAAAGCCCCAGGCGTTATGTAGTAGGAGGGATGATGTTGCACAGCGCCTGTAGTTACCAGACCTCAACATAACACACACTTATCTCATTACATTGTGGGGACACTAGAACAGACTACACATGCATTACAGCTGGTACACAAAAAAAACACAGAGGTGGGAGAGAGAATTCACATACAATGAACAGCTAGCAGGCCAGTCTGACTAGAACTAGGAAAGCTAGGCTGAAGCCAGATTGTGGAAGGTTTGAGGTATGAGGAAATAAGGAGCCACTAAAGATTTCTGAAATTTTTGACAAATGTGTTTTACATCCTAAAATACAAGGTGTGTATTTTAGAAATACCAATTTGGCAGGTGTGTGGAAAATGGATTGGAGGGGGAGAGACTGGAAACAATAGTCCAGATGACAGGTGATGAGGTCCTGAACTAGGGTTGATGCTATATGAGCCAAGAGAATTGGGCAACGTGAGAGATGTTAACAGAACTAGAATTGACAAGCCTTGGCAACTGATTGGATATGGGGGTTGAGGAAGAAGTTAAGAGTCAAGGCTGACACTAAAGTGAACTGGGTATCTGTTAAATTAGAGGTGTTCTCAACAGAAACAGAAAAAGTTTGAAAGAGAGATGGTTTTAGAGGAAAATATAATACATTCTGTTTTGGAAATATTAAGTTCAACATGTCTACAGATCATCCAGTTGGAAATATTCAATAGACAGTAGGTCTTTTTTTCCCACCTGATTTCACGTACTTTCTTACATGTATTTACCCTGAACTCCAGCTGCTCTGAATGACTTGCTGTTTCCTTACCTCATCTACCCTTTCTTGTCTTTGTGACTTTGCTCCTTCATCTTCTCACATGCCATTCAACCCATCTGTGCTGGCCCCAACTTCGAGTCCCCGCATCTACTGCAAGCTTTGGCTTCTGTGGCCAAAGAACCATCTGACCTCCAGAGACCAAGCCCTGAGGGAACTGCTCTATTCAAAGTGAGATATCCAGATTGATGATCAAGTAAGAGCAAATTCACACAGCCCAAGCCATGCTTCAAATCAAATCCAGCTGTCCACCTCAGCCAATTCTTGCTATCCACTCAGGCCAGCACATACCCAACCCCCTCAGTAATTAAATCAATACAACCATTGTTTCTAGAAGTCAATGCCCTGTCCTACAGCTCCACTTTCAATCCTTAGAACTTCCCAAACTAAAACACCCTTCCCTGGTCATTACTCCCCTATCTGTGTTGTCTTCCCCATTAGAATGTGAGCTCCTCTAGGGCAAGGGTTGTCTCGTTTTCATATTTGTATCTTCAGCACTTAGCACTGGCTTGCTTAGTAAGGATTTAATTGTTTTTCATTCAACTCCTCTAGCTGAAATACACCGTACCTTTCTTCATTTTGAAATATTTCCCTTATTTCATGACCCATTTTAAATACTACTTCCTCTGAGAAATCTTCCATTATCCCCTCAGTGTTCTTTCATCTGAACTCCAATAGCACTTTTCTTGCCTTTTCTTATGTATTTCAAATGTTCTCTCCCTTCTCAAATCTTCCTGGTGTGCTTTTTCTCATTTATTCTATCATGTTCTACCTTATATTACATCCACCTGTGTGCATGTCATACCTCCTTTCCCACCCTACTCCAGTCTAAATTAGTTTTGTTTTTATTTTTGTGTTTTCTATGCCTTGCACAAAGTAGGGACTTAATAAACTGAATATTTTTCATTATAGTTGTCTGTGTACATGTTTTATCTTCCATATTAGATTCTAAGTTCCTTTGAAAACAGGGACTATGTCCTACTAATATTTCATATCTCTTCTCAATACCTAGAATAAGGCAGTTGAGGTGGAAGATGAAAGTGGCAGCTGTGATACTGCTTGGCAGGGCTACAAGATAAATAAGGCAAACCCGGTCAGGTCCCTCCAGAATGTCCAAGGTTTCCTCTATCACAATTGTGTCCCTTTTCTTACCAGCCAGTATGTGCAGGGCCCCCGCAGTAGCAGCCAGCCTGGCCTTACCCTCAGATGTCAGAGACCCAATTTGTGTACATTGCAGGCCAACAATGCCTAGAAAGACGCCCAGGGAACTTAAAATGATGCCTGTGATCATGAGTGCCCGGCAAGCCTGGATGGTTCCTGGGGGGAGAGAGAGGTAAAGGGAAGGTCATAATAGTTAGCCCCATGCCTATATGCCCCATTCTCATCCTCTCAAAGAAGCCCATTTCTGCCTTCCTTCAGCCCCTATTGCAACTTTAGCCCTTGCAGGACCTGTAGAACAAAGGAAATACAGCAGGTTCTCCTCCCCTGGGCCCAGCTTCCCAGCCTGAGCCCCCACTTTCCCCATGAGCTCCCTATAATAGCCCCTTCCTTCCTTACAATGGTTCATCCCACCAGTTCTGACCCCAGGATTCAAGAAAACCCCCATAGCACTTTGAAGTGTGATCTTTGTCTTCCTGTAAAAGAGAGGTGGGTCAACAACAGTATCCTGCGGCTGAGGTAATAAGTATTATCCCTTTCCTAATCTAAAGCATCACGTTTTCAGGAACTATCTAGGAGCACCACCTATCTCCTTGACTTTCTCTCTCCTTTCTCTCAACAATTGCCCGATACTCCTAAGGACCTTGGCCCCCTCTCCTGGGGTGGGGCAGAGCTGCTGCTGAAGGGAGTAAGAGACTGGCTTACAGCCAGGAAAGAGACTACAGAACTAGGGGGGAGGGCAGGGAAAGGTAGAAGGAGGGACAAAGTACTCTGGGAGTACCCACTCCCATTCTAAGCCCTTCACTTCCCTCCTCGGTTTCAGTCCCCTTTGTATGACTGCTCTCCATTCCTCTCTCCACCTTCTCATGAGACCCCCTTTGCCCTCAACTCTGGACCCTCAAAGCTTTGGTTCTGAGGGGGAAGAAAATAATCTCAGACCCATAACTGTCAAGTGCTGAAGATACCTTAAAGACCATCTCTCATCCAACTTCCTCATTTTCACAAAAGAGGAAGTTGCACCCCAGAAAAGGGAATGGACTTATCCCAGATTTTGCAGCAAATTAGATCACAGACTATGTCAACAGTAATTGCAACACAGGGATGGGGTGACAACCAGGAGGGGCTCCCCACCTCAAACAGCAGGGTAAGGAGATAAACAGCTCCTCCCTCCCTATCATCCCTAGACAGCAATATGGTCACACTCCTACCAGAAAAACCTGATCCTTCGTAGACCCACAGAGATAAGAGGTAGTCTTAAAGACTATGGCAAAACTAGCATCCTTCCTAGAGAACATTATTATAGGAGATATAATGATACAAGAGACTTGGTCTGGGAATTGAGAAAACTGCTCAACCACTATCTTAGTGTATGATTTGGGCTTTGGTATTCTTAACCATAATGAGTCCGTTCCAGCTCTGATGATCTGTAGTCCTAAGGTCCTTGGGTATTAAAGACAGCTTCCAAAAGGGATTCTGGGAACAGAATTATGCTTCTACCATTCTATTTCTATTCAGGGGAATAACCTGAGGAACTATCTCCCAAGAGGGGAGCAATGTCCCACCAGAGCACTGGAGAGAATCTGGTGTGGGTGGGGTGAATCTGGGTGAAGCTCCTGAGATGCTCAGAGGCTGCAATAAAACTGTCCCTAAGAGTCTGTAAAATGCAAGATTCCTCCTAGGGAATAAACAGGTCTTGGAAGCTAAAGTGAAGCTTGAAAAACAGGAAGGCAGGACTTGAGACTTGGGCCTGTAGTGATGTTATATGTGAGAAGGTAAAGGCCACAGGATATCATTTTAACCTGCACTCTACTCCTCTTCCACCTAGGAGAACTGTTTTAGGACCCATAAGGAAAGTTATCACATTGTGGACACAGCAACCTGTAGTGAGCCTGGGAAACTGCCACAGAATCCTGAGAGACCCTTCTGATCGTCTGTGGACATACAGTGAGGACCACTCCCAGGCCACTGAGGATAGTGAGAGCTGAGAGTCATTCCCTCTGAATATAGTATGAAGTTATAGAACCAAAGAATATCAGAGCTGGAAGGTGTCTACAGGTGCATCTATCCCTATCATTATTGTGAACTTTCAAGGTTATAGAATGACAGATGCCATTCAAGGTACCACTATTATTCCCTAACCCAAGTGCAGTGAGAGTCACAGCAGGTTATGCAACATGCCTAGCCCAGACACAGGGCTTCTCACCAGTAATTTCTGGCCACCGTCCCTGCCCCTCAAGGCATAGTACAGGGCTATATCAGTCAAGGTAAAATGTGAGGCTTGAGAAGCAGGTGCTGCCCTCCCCACTCCCCATCTGTAAAACAGAGGGTCAAAACTTGAAGAGACCTTAAAACATAAAACAAAGAGTCAGAGCTCTTGGAAATCTTCCCCCATTTACTCTTCCCCCATTTTATAAAAGAGGAAATTAAGGTCCAAAGAGGTTGCACAGAAAAAGCTGGGTGCGGTGCCCAAAATCATTCAATATCCTTCCTTTTACACCAAGCTGCCTGCCAGACACGATGCTTTCCCATTTTTCTCCCTTGCAGAGTACAGGATATAACCCTAATAATGTAGATTCCAAGCTGAAAAGGACATTAGAGATCATCTAATGCTAAATCTTATATACAGAAGAGAAAACTAAGGCCCAGAGATTAAGTGACTTTCTCAAGGACACCTAGGTAGTAACAGAAATGGAATTCAATCCTGTTCCTCCCCATTCTGGGGCTCCTTTTTTCTAGTGAAGTGTCCCTTCCCCCCTTCCCCCCACACCAAAAATTGTACCAGACAGGGCAAGCAAGGAGGGAAACTCCCGGCAGTTGTAGACACCAGTGGAGTCTGTGGCGCAGCTGTACCAGAGGTTCTCAAAGATGGTCGATGTTGTAATGACATTGCCATAGATAGAAGACACACGCCAATAGCCGTTGGGAAGTGTCACTCCAAGCATCAGCAGCCCCAGTGCACCCAAGAAGAATCCAAGTATCTCTACAGCAACTGACATGATGGGAAGACGGAAGTCTAGGGGGATCTGGGAAGCAGAGAGACTAGAGTCCGAGCCTCTGCATACCCCAAAAGGTGGAACCCCAAGAAAGCAAACAAAAACTGCAAGCCAGGAACCTGGGTGAGGGGACGATAAAGGGGCAGGGGGAGGAGCTCCCTTTTAGTCTGACTGGGGTTCTCTCTCTCTTCACGTTGAGTTTTTCCAATGTCTCCTTCTCTGTTCTCTTTTGGGGGCTCTTCTCTCTGCCAAGTTTCTGTCTCTGACTCTTTGCTCTCAGGTTAGTTCCAGGACTGAGCAGAGAGAGCTATAGCTGCTGACAACAGAGATGAGATG